GGTTACATTCACTCCAAATGCTTCCCTTTGTGATCTTTAGCCATGTTTGTAGAGAAACCTCTCTTAAAGCACTTAAAGCTTAATTCAGAACAGACAAAACAATTATTTTTTGAAAGTCTGATGAAATATGTTTGGCAGCTTTTGAATTTAGGAGAGCGTTTGTCTCACTTTGAAATCGCACTTCAGTCGGTCGTTCAGCCATCGTAGTGTAATCATTCAAATCTGGTAGCGACTGTGGGCTTTGCTGAGTTAAAAAATGATCTAATGAGTGGCTGAAAATAGTACGTAATACATGAAGACTGAATTTTTCCTTATTGATGTGCTTTTGAACATTGGTCTACAGGCTGTCCCCGTGGTTTTGGTGAAGTGCTGGTTGATAAATACCTCCGTGTAGGTAGGACTTTGGTCCTCCAGTACCTACCAGTAAGTGGGGCTCTCCTGAAACCTGTTTTTGTGGTCTTGGTGACTGAGCATCACCGCCTACGTGCAAGAGACGCTGGAGGAGCAGCCTCAAACGCCCAGTAAGATGTTGCAGTGGTGACGGTCACTGAGGGCTAGTGAGTAGCTCATGTTGTCCCATGCTAAATTTTGAGAAATAGTTATGATACTTGATTTTGACCTAACTAAGCAACTCAGAGAGCCACTACTCTCCTGGAGAGTTCTGACTATAGTATACTGTGACATACCCTCTGTTCTAATGGCGCTTTCTCATTTAGTTTATTACCTAGCTATAGATATTAGATCTACAGATCTGGAGGCTTTTAAGCATCAAATAGTCTTTATTTTAATTTCTTGGGGAAGAGAAGTATCACTTTATCTTCTGTCAGTGTAAATGACGTACGTTTATGCACCAACGTGTGGCTATTTCTTATAGCCAGAGAGGGCAGAAGATTGGCACTGCACAATGGAGCTTTTTAGTTGAACTGTTGCATGAACACAGAGCAGAAACATTTAAATTGTAGTTTTGATTGCAGTTCACTGATCACATTGAATGGTCTGCTCAGCTTATATTACGGCAGGAAAGTTGCCACTGTGCCATGGCAACAAATATTGTAGAAGTGAAGGGCAGTTGGGAGAAATAAGTAATTGCACTTTCCTTTTATATATGTGTATATATATATATTTTAATATTTGATTAAGATACGTTTTTTAAATATATGAAGGAGTATGCACTTTGTGAATATATATTAAAATCACTAAGTTATTCCTAATGTTCTGTGTTTCTGCCTGTTCCTGACAAACATCTGATACGGATCATATGCCTCTAAAAAGAGAAGTTCCTCGAGCAAAATATCCTCATGAAAACAGGTTGGAGATACTCACATTCTCTCGCTCGCTCTCACTCGCATGTTACATTTTGGCACGTTGTAGAAGCAGGTAGCATATCTACTACCTGCTGTTGAAAGTGTTGAAGATACTGAATTATTTATTCCATCTTCTGCACTATCCAAACTCGTTTTGGGTAGTTTGACACATCTCGGTCTTCCATATGGATACTTCATGGTGACAGAGTTGCCAGCTGCTCAGGTTTTATGACAGTCTGAGTTTTTCCGAGGACTGTATTAGTTTTCTGGGAAGAATCTTGCTTTTCCTGAGGTCCCCATTTGTAGGCAGTAGTTATGCCTTGGGTTGATGCTCTGGAGTGGGAGGGGGTTTTTTTTTGGAAAATTAGCTACAAGAGCATTAGCTTCCGCAAAAATATTTTTTTAAAGGACTTGATTTTTATAGATTATGCGAGATGAAATCAGAGCCATGGGATATAAGAAAAGCATGAAATCCTTTTGCTAAGAAAACTAAGTTCCTTTTAGTGATAGTCTTCAAATTTGTAGAAAAGTGTTCAGATATCAAGGTGCATAAGGCAACATACAATACAGTCTGAAATGTTTTGGAGAGTAGGATTTTTAGGGCATTTGAAATGTAAAACTGCTAATCAGTCTGCTAAGAGCCTGCTCATCCTCTCTGTGACTGTGCAAAGTGAGTGGGGCTTCTGTTGTTTTACGATATAAAACGTGTAAATCTAAAAATTGAGAGAAGATTTGAGTTTGCCAAAACTTTTTAAAATAAATGAAAGTCAGCCATTGTTTTACTTTGCCATTGATTCAAGCATCTGTTCATAGAAACCTTTTTAAGTGAAACTCTCACTATTTTGTTGAGTCTATATTGCACTGAGTTTGATCCCTCTTCAATGGGATAAATCAATCTCGCTTGCAGTGCGGTCCGTATATCCATGACTGTCTGTTCTGTGTCATCCTGGATCCAAACTAACACCAGATGATGTGAAGTAATGGTCCTCAAAGTTTGTTGTTCAGATTTGCTACTGAATAGTAGTGTTGTTATGTGTAGTTCTTCTCCATGTTGCTACAACCTCTTGGGCATATTGCATTTTTCATGCCAGTCATTTGACTTGTTTGGTTATTTTCTCCAGTTGGACAGATAAGCTACCCAATGAAATGAATTTGCAGACTTTAAAGGAATAAATAATGCTATTTAAATGTTACCTAATTGAATAGAACATCAATTTTACAAGTCTTTTTACTTGAAAAGGTCTTTTCACTGTTTATTACTACATCCTGTATATTTAGCCTTGGTACATATCTTATAGACCATCCAGCAGTGGTTACTTTTCACTAGTGGGTCGTTCCGATTTGCTTATGTTCTGCTCTAATAAGATGCCTTCACTTAATTGTTTAATGGTGATGGTGTGAAATCTGAGCGAGGAAGGTGATGTGGATTCATGGCTTTCTCCTTCCCCCCATCACTGCAACTATAGCTGCTTGGTCTCGACCTCTCCCTTCATGGAAACAGAGAGGATGATGTAGCCCATGGTGAACAATCTGGCCACTAAAGTAAAAATGTGCATCTGTCAGTAATTAATTGAAGCCAAATTTAATTACAAATCAGGGAAAAAAATAGTACCACGCACTTCATAAAATTCAAGAAGCTTCAGTGCCACTGCCTAAAAACCAAAGCAATCCAAACAAAAGACTCCCCCCCCTCAAATGTCTAAAAGTCTTGTGAGAGTGTCTTTCAAGCTTGCTTCTGGACATTAAATAGAAAAGTGATTTTGATTAACTGTTTCCGCATCCTTTTTTGGTATCTTTTTGAGTTAAAGGTCATCGAAAATAGTGGTCAGTGTTGAAGGCTAGTTCTTAATCAATTGTGTCAGCTGAGGATCTGGCCCCCAAAATTGGATTGTAAGGTTGAATTGTATGTCAATATTCCAATCAGCTATTTGAGATGAAAATTCAGGAAGGAATTGAAAGAGAACCCAAAAAATTTACAAATTAAATAATGCTTCTGTGTAACCTTTTGAATATTTTAAAGGTGAGAGATTTGCTTCAGCTTTATCCCCATTCTAGTTTAGCTGAATATCATCAGTGGGATCCACAGGTTGAGACGGGAGGTTCTCAAGAACTCTACCCATGGTCCTAGCGGAGATCTGAAAATCTGGGTGGCATGAGGAGACACGAGGAAGGGTGGGACATGCAACAGCGGGGCTGAAAACGCAGCCTCCTCCTACTCCAGCTGTGTCAAACAGCAGATGTGCATGCAGAGAGTTGAGAGTTTTGTTTGGGGAAAGGTCTATGTGAAGGGGAAAATGCATTTGATTTCGGGGTAGTAAATTCTTTTGGATAACGTAACTAAGGTCTGTCACAGTAGGAACAAGAATTTCAACTATAGGCCAAAATAACATACTATAAAATGAGGGATGGAGAATGTATTTTTAAATCCAAATCTCAAAAAGAGATTGGCAATTTGAGTTCCAAACAAGCTATTCATTTATACTGTATTTTAGCATATAAGACAGACCCCAAATCCAAAACTATTGAACTGGTAGCAGGCATGAATATTTATTGCTGTGTACTGTATGTACATATAGTAATTACAGGAAGAGGAAAAAATATTTTTTTTTTACAATTAATATTTGTAAACGTTTATGAAAGTACATAACAAATAAATAAGACAACAAACACATGGCCTAATTAAGATGAAAGGCATGACAGCCCTTGTGATTTGTTCTGAAAAATAAAGAACGTTAAAATAGTAAGACTTAATTATTTCTGTAAACATTTCAAATTATGTTCTATCTAGAAAACCTTAATTTGAGATATATATTATAATATCTATAAGCATTTTTGACATTTGCACATTCCATGTCAAAAAAATTATTGTTAATTTATTATTTATTATACTGAATACTGTCATATTATCACTTATTAGTATTTATTGTTCAGAAATTCAGAGCCATCTATTGTTTAATGGGAAATGGAAAAGCATTTTGTATCTGACTGCAATTTGTGTATTCTTGGTCTAGTGATAAAAATGCAACTTCTGCAAGTAGATCATATAAAAATGTGTGCAATAATATACAAAAATAACCGATCTGTTTAACGTTCCAGGCATTAATAATGCTATTTGAAATACACTTTGCATTTGAAAAATAAAGTTAAATCCGTGCAGGCTTGAAATCAAGGAACCTGTATGATAGTGGATGGGGGGGGGGAACCAAAGCTCTCAGGTTTGTACTTGAGGAGCTTGAAGACACCATGGTCTTTGAAGCCCTTGTTTCTCAAGGTGGATGTGTTTGTGGTCATACCTTTTCTCTTCCTTGCTCTGAATTTCTCTGACGTTTAAGGAGACAACGTAGCAGAGCACTGTTCAGTACTTCTTCCCATCGCACCCCTGCTTGCCCTCACCAGAAGGATGAGCTGCCCCTAATCTCACTGCCAATGGTTCCCCTCGCGGCTCCTGTTCTTTGCTGTAAAATTTTGGCTGGTTTCTGGTCAGCTGGAGAAAATGTAGCCATCAGCAGCGGCCTGCTTGTGTTCTGTGTTTTATGGTTATCAGTGACGATTTGTTGGGTCGTAGTGCTTGCGTGGTCTCACGTGGCACCCCGACTTCGCTCTGCTGAGTGCACGAGAACCGTGCCCAGAACAAAACCGTATTTGCGGTAAAAATCTGAGGATTTAAGACTCTGCTATATGACATTAGGCCTGGCAATGGAAACAGTTACCTGTGCTGTGATGGAAGAGGTGGCCGTGGCCGTCAGTCCTTTGCGATGGCAGAGTTTCTGCCAGGCAGAGGGAATGTTCCGATACGAATCAGGTGCTGTTTCAAACTCGCTTTGTGCTATAAGCCTGGTGAATTGGAGAGTTCAGCCTTCGCATCCGTAGATACGTAAATATGCCCTGTGTGGTCTCCTAAGGGGAAGGCAAAACGTGTTTTTAGTTAAGTTGCTTGGGAATTTAATTGAAAGATTTAGGGCAATGCCATAAAAGAATAAATCGTGGTTATGTGACACAAAGATGTATAAAGCAAAATAGAAATACTTTAGCATCTTTACTTTTATCATTTGCTTGATAAAAATGGAAACCTATATTAGTCATTTTGTCTGCTGGCAACTAAAAAACGAAGTAAAGGCTTTTATATTTTACTGATTTCAGTCCTTTAGTGTTAAATAATGGGAAAGACAATAGCAGAGGTCAGAGCGTTCTCCGGACACCTCACGGCTCTGAACCTGCAAGCACGCTCAGCTTCCCTCCCATGAATATTTGTATGAATTAAGCACATGCTTAACTTAATTCACATAAGTAGTTCCTCAGAAGTCAGAAGGACTATTAAGTGATTCAGATTAAACACAAGCTTAGTGTAAGACCAGAGCTTGTGTGGATGGTGGCCCTGAGATTTGGCCAGCCTCCAAGGCAGCGATGCTACTGCGTGTGTGATGGTCCTGCTCTATGCGAGAAGGTCATTTGTAACACTGGAAAATACTTGGGGGTATTTGGGAGAGGAGAGCTAGGGCAATCACGTTCAAAATGTGACCTTCAACGCAGGTTTTGTGGGGATTCGCACAATATATTTATTAAAGAGTACTGTATATATTATATCTTGTAGCGTTGATAGGTCTAGATAAGAATACCATAATAGCAGTTGAAATGTTTTTTGAGATGGTAAGTTAAGGATGTAGCTGTTAATTTGAATTTAGCAGACGTTTTAAATATAGGTTTCTCTTACAGAGACAAAAGTTGCAATTTAAAGCTCTTTGGTGGTCTAAAAACAGCTTAATTCTCTAGTAGCATGGTAATAAGTACTAATCCAGCTTATACAGTGATTGTAGTATGTCATGTTTGTGAAAGATTGCCTAACTCTGCTTTCTCTGGGTTTTATGTTAATTTTTTTAAATTAAACATAAAACCTTATAACATCTTTATGCTGAGATAAACTGTTCAATTTAACTTGTGCTCAAGCAGCAGCTGTCAGGAATTATCATGTTTCGAGTGTTCTTGCCATCACCTTGTGTCTCTACCTCCCGGATACACTCCGTGGGATGATAAAGCTCACCTTGTTAGGATTTATTACTTAAATAATAACCCGAGGTAAAATGAAAGTTGATGTCACACGGAATGACAACTGACATATATTTATGTCGCATGTTACATTATAATAAACTTTCCTTTCTTCCCCTTGTAATAGGTGTTAAGTGGAAATACACTCCAGCATATCCTCCAGTGCCCTGCGTGAGTCCATTAGCCACGTACGCGGCTGCTCTGTGGGCATGTTCGCGGGGACTCGTGCTGTCAGGTGTTATTTAAGCTCGTAATGCCAGAGAAATTGGTTATCACCGGTAGTTAGCAGCTTTTGTGCTGTTAAGGAAACAAGAGTATCTCGTATTTGTTGGGTTAAATTCTGGAAATGCTGTGAAGTAACGCAAGCGAATCAAGTACGGTGTTTTCTAATAATATTATCACTTAAATGGTTTTGGGTTTATTATTTTTTTTCTGGAAGAAAGGTAAACAGTGTCACTGTTCAACATCTTTGTCGGTCACGTGGACAGTGGGATTGAGCGCACCCTCAGAGAGTTTGCCGACAACACCAAGCTGTGTGGTGCGGTCAGCATGCTGGAGGGAAGGGATGCTGTCCAGAGGGACCTTGAGAGGTGGTCATGTGTGAACCTCATGAAGTTCAACAAGGCCAAGTGCAAGGTCCTGCACGTGGGTCGGGGCAATCCCAAGCACAACTACAGGCTGGGTAGAGAATGGATGGAGAGCATCCCTGAGGAGAAGGACTTGGAGGTGTTGGGGAACGAGAAGCTCAACATGAGCCAGCAATGTGCATGGGCAGCCCGGAAAGCCAACCATGTCCTGGGCTGCCTCCCCAGCAGCGTGAGCAGCAGGTCGAGGGAGGGGATTCTGCCCTCTGCTCCGCTCTGCTGAGACCCCCCTGCAGTGCTGCATCCAGCTCGGAGGTCCCCAGGACAAGAAGGACATGGAGCTGTTGGAGAGAGTCCAGAGGAGGCCACCAAGATGATCTGAGGGCTGGAGCACCTCTGCCCTGGAGGCTTCAGGCTGAGAGAGTTGGGCTTGTTCAGCCTGGAGAAGAGAAGGCTCTGGGGAGACCTTAGAGCCCCTTCCAGTCCCTGAAGGGGCTCCAGGAAAGCTGGAGAGGGACTGGTGACAAGGGCAGGGAGTGACAGGCCAAGGGGAATGGCCTGAAGCTGCAGGAGGGGAGATGGAGATGGGATGGGAGGCAGAAATTCTTCCCTGTGAGGGTGCTGAGGCCCTGGCACAGGGTGCCCAGAGAAGCTGTGGCTGCCCCTGGCTCCCTGGCAGTGTTCAAGGCCAGGTTGGATGGGGCTTTGGGCAACCTGGGCTAGTGGAGGGTGTCCCTGCCCATGGCAGGGGGGGTGGAACTAGACGGGCTTTGAGGTGCCTTCTAACCCAGGCCATTCTATGATTTCAGACTCTAAATCTGAATTTGCTAGTAATCGCAACAGTTTTCTCTTGACACTGTTTTATTGATTACCTGGGCAGTGATAAGTGATCTGCTTGTTAATAGAGTCTTATCACTTCCCACTTACAGTGGAGAAAATTTGGGTCTACCTCTTGCAGGCTTTCCAAGTTTTTGGCCTTCCTTGGCCTTACTAGAAGCCATCCTGCAGCTCGCTCTGATGACACTATTGAATCATTCGGTTTGTCTAAGCTGGTACTGCAAACATTATTTTCCTTTCCTGTACATATAACCATCTTTTTTTCATGTTCCTCTCCTAGTTATTCCTTTGCCCATGAGTGAGTTCACATATTTCACAGCTACGCGGTTTTGTCCAAGCTTAGATCTAGGATCTCATTTCTCATGGTGCTCCCTGTTGTCCTTCTTCTCTCATGTTAACCTTGGCACCCCCGCTGCCTTCTCTTTCCACTCTTGCTTCTGTGTCTTGCTCTGTGCTGCTTCCCATGTTTTCAGTCCCAATGTGCCATCGCTTTTTTTCCTCTCTTCATTCAAACGCAGCCAAGTTCATAGATGCTCTCCTGCATCAGTTCAGTTTTCCTAACTCCATCGCAGAAGGAGATTTTCTGAAAGATCAGTAAAGGAAAGGATATGCTATAATGCAATCCAGAAATAGGCAAAATTTTGCCAAGCAACTATTTAATCTCATTTTTGTCATATTTGGGGTATGTTTGCTCCTGTTTGTCTTTTCCTTTGTCACGTCAGTGCTGAACTCACTGAGCAGGAGTATTGCATCGCCCGTAGGAAGTTTTCCTGCCTCTGGTTTGAGTCTGACACCCAGGTTGTTATGAGGTCCAGAGGTTATTACTCTTCATGACAAATAAGTGATGACTTAGGTAAAACTATTTTTTCCTCTTGGTATGGCTCATAATAAACCCGAACTCGTATCTTAATTGGCATTCTGTTTGACAGTCCCTTTAGAACGATCAAATATTTGATGAACAAGGCAATAACATTCATCTCTTACTTTCGTAAGCCTTTCAGATTAGCATTGACTCAAGTTGATGAAGATGGATACAGGATCTGTTCTCTAGGAAGTGTTTGTTCTGTAGATTATCCAAGAATGGTGTGTGTTAGCATAGGTGATATTATGAGATAGATATATATATATATATGGCTATTTGGGGAAGTTCTTGAGTTTTAAGGTTGACAGCCAGGATCAGAAGTTTTTAATATTAGTGATGTCAGTTTGGCAGTAATCGTGAACACAAAATCCACAAAAATAGGAAGAATAGAAATAAAAATAGGAAAGATTTTAAAAGATTTAAACATTGCATAAATCAACTCTGAATCCGAACCACTGAAATGGTGGATAGCAAAAAAAAAAAAAAAGTCAGAAACATGCTATGTTGAAAAGTAGTTCATTAAAGCTTAGTGTTTTATGTGCAATAAATACCTGATCTCCTTTTTTTTTTTCTCTTATGATGAGAATTGTCTACAGCTCTGCAGTTTTCTGTAGATTCAGGATTCAGTTTGCTTGAAAGCAGCGCTAGCCAGGGGACGGGAGATGCTCGCATACTTTTGGTGAAATGCAGGGAAATCTGCCACTGGTTACCTCAGGGTCACAATTTCATATTACACATTTAAATGCATTCATTTTCTGATAGCCTGGTAAGTTATACAAGGGTAAGATAGCAGCTTGTTAGTGTTGTTTGTGCCTGCTTTATATAATTGAAGGATGTGTGCACTGTTGTAGACTGTGGAATAGCAAGAGTGCTGCGGCAATACTGGGGTGCGAGCGTAGAAACAACATTTCATTATAGAGGATACCTAATAAAAATGTGAAAATAAAACAGAAAAAGGGTGGAAACAAAAAAAAGAAAACCAGACCATACTAGATAAGTGCACTGCATAAATCAAAAGGGTTTATGTCATAACATGAAAAAAAAACCTGCTCATATATTGAATTTCAGTAGTTGGTTGCATAAAGAAGTAAAGTGTAATGAAACTGGCAAGCAAAGTATTCCCTAGTCAGCCTTATCTTTGTTCCATTTGTCCTTCAGATACAGCTTTTCTTGCCTTTTTCAATAAAATCCATCCAGCTTTTTTTTTATTTTGCATCTCTCTGTAACCGAGCTGGGAAGACCAATGAGATTCGGTGCTTTTCTAGTTGGGTTCTTAGCAGCTGCTTTTTGAGAGATCAAAACTTTGAATGCTGCTACATGGTATTAAGGCTTAGCTATTGAAGTGTCCCTATAGGGGTTATGTTTTTTTGTGGGGGGGGGGGGAGAGAAGAGGAAGGGGTGACCCCTGCGAGCATGCTCACAGACAGTAAACACTGCTCTCCTTGTTTTCCAGGATCCTCTTTGCAAGCTCGGTGCTTAACCTGGCTGAACTCGCTGCCCTCCGCCCTGACCTTGGCAAATTGAAAAAGATCCTCTACTTCCATGAGAATCAATTGGCATATCCTGTCCAGAAATGCCAGGAAAGGGATTTTCAGTATGGATACAACCAGATTCTTTCATGGTAGGTGTTGCTCACACCGCTCCACGTTATTTAAGGTGTCCTTCTGCCTACAACCTTGCAGCTTCGTAAGCCTTTGGAGTCCTCCTCCGTATTGATGATGACCCTGTAGCAAACCAAGGTGCCAGCAGAGTCCCGAAGAGAGGTTGCTAGAAGTGCTGTGGCAGAAACAATCTGCTCTCTAAAGTCATTTCAATTTCTGGTGTGAAGTCCACCGATGCTGGATTGGGCTACCATGGCGTACCCGTTAGTGGTGGGGGCTTCGACCTGGGTCTTGGCTGTAATGAGCAAGACGCTTTGTTTCGCGGACGCTTCGCAAAGCTGCAGCTAATCAGCTCTTGCTTGGCCGTGGCTTTTACTGCATCCAACTGAAATTATATAGAGGGTTTTAGGGAAATAAACAGAAATTAAAATGTACTGCAGCACTTTTCTTGTGAAGAGAGGGCAGTAAACATACCAGATAAATCCTTATATTTCTTTCATCTAGTATTCAGAAATTGTGCAGTGCTAAAATACCCAGACGTTTTAAAGGCTGCGGTCCTTTATTGTTGCTAAAAACAAATGTATTTCTCGAATCTGAGTTAATGAAAGAAGTTAATAACAGCAACACTGGAAAGCTTTGTGGTTAGGCACTGTACAAACCTGAGTGGAACAGCAAAACTCGGTTGTTTTGAACGGAAATAAACTCATTTCCGTGATCTTTCTCACCTGTCTGTTAGTAGGAGAATTATTAGGAACAGGGATTGAGCATTTTAAGGTACAAGTTGAGCTTTTGCATCTTTATAATAAGAACCAGTTGATATTGGAATGTCTGAAATAATGATCTGTGTATACTCCAGCCATTCTGTAGCTGCTTCTTCCACAACACTTGCAACATGTTTCACTCTCTGAACAGTAAAGATGAGAAAGTATAGTGAAAGATCTTTCGAAAACAGTAGCAGCCATTTTCAGATAACAAAAAGATGTGGGTTTTGGCACTGGGGAAAGGAATATTTTCTTGTATATATATTTTACTTTATTATGGCAGCTGTTTTTCACACATCTATTGCAAGCTGATATTTATCCTCAAAATATGCATTTTTAAGATAATAAAATATCTTCTTTGGCCTTAAAAACCCCACCTTCTATAGATACCCCAATCTTTCTCCTTCAGCTTCCAATAGCTTCTCCATACATGATGTTCATGTATGGAGATGTTCATCTTCCCTTTTGTTGCTGCAGAAACCCCATTTTTAACAGCAGATAGAAGCCATCTCCTCTGCACTATTTGTAACTACCCAGTGGTCTTCTGCAAAGAAACACCATCTTTCAAATCTTTTAGAAATGGGAAAATGTATCTTTCCATTTTTGTATAGAGGTTTTGGAGACAGTTAAAATTGGAATAGTTTGAATCTTCAGGTTGGTGCTTTGAATCATTAAGAAAGAATTATTATTATTTTTTTTTTCTCCCTAATGATTCTATAGAGTTAATGTAATAAAATCACACTTTTTGATGATGCCTGAGATGCCTTGTAGCTCCTTAGGCAGTGAAGATGACAGGAACTTTCTAATTTGCCGGTATTATGCAGAGCCCCTAGGAAAAAGTTGGTCAGGTAAGACCTCATGCACAAGAGAAGCAGAGATGACTGTTGGAGCCTTTGCTACAAGCAGTAAAAAAACTTGCCAGGCTCCCGTGTTGTCTCATGTCATCTGTAAATCAGTGCAGAAAAGATGACAGGATCATTTGTACAAAAACGGGGAGACAAAGGGTTAAAAACCATAGGTGGGGAAAAGAGTGGGATTCCAGAAAGCATTTCGGCTCCTGCAGCCTGCTTGGAAAGGATTATTTCTCTCTCTAATGTGGGGGGTTTTTTTCTTTTCTTTTTTTTTTTTTT